CTAAAAATCACTTCCTCTCAACTAGGATTACAAATGTGCTTCAATGATATATGTTGTATACATTGTGATTACTATTATAACTAAAGATGTGTGATTGTGTATTTATCTTGAGTAAATAACATGATATTATAGAGATATCATAGACATGTTATATGAGGAGTAGTATGATTTGAAGGTAGATCAGTAGAGGTTCTGTTCTTTATCATGTCTAAGCAAAATATGTAGGCCGTAGCCATTATGTATATAGAAGTATGTTAACTCATAATAAAAGTAATATAATCAGGAAAAATATAAGTAAGAATATATTTCCCAGTAGAGAAATATAAGTACAAACATGTTTGACCCTCACAACCTGCCACGAGAAATCCCAAAAGTACACATAAATCTAAGATTGTAGGCAGAAAATAGTAAGAAAGCATTATAAATGTACTATGTAATCAACATGCATAGACCTGCATAAAAGATAAGAAAAATTCCATTTATCTTATAACTAAATAAAAAAATAACATATAAGTTTCCTGTCTGTATTCTATAAAATATCTATAAAATTAACATAAATATGACTCAGCTGTATTAATGTCTACCGTGTGTAGGTATTAACCAAAATACCACCTAATGAGTGAAAATACAATATTTATCACTAAATATATTGAAATGTAACATAGGAAAGAAATTTCAACTGACTGGAATTTAATCATTACTATACCTCATCTGTGTATTTTACAGATTAACCTAAATTAACTGTACAGCTGCGACAAAACATGTAATGGAGCACCCTTTGTCACCAACAACTACTACATTTCTACTTATGAGATAACAGAAATTCATAGATAATGCCACAAACAGCAGCTGGAAAAAAGCAAGAAAGTATAAAATTAGAATGGATGTTGGTCCTCCAACTCCATACTAAAGGTCACACCCTTTGCCAAATTTCTGACCATACTATAGTTTACAAGTCAAACATCTCATGAATCATTTGCCAATGGAGAACGACCAAGCAACCAAACAACCAAGCCCACCCCAGACAACCACAAAAAACTAGTTCCCAGGAGCTGCAATGGCTTAATCAGACTCAGGCTGTTGATCAGAATCCCTGTGTATCTTTAGCATAATTGACTACTGTGTCAAAACTGTATTACTATCCTGCGAGAACCAAAAAAGTACTTTACAAACTTTGCTTGTATTTACAAATTCTATGCTAAAAGCTATTTCTCACATCTCAAATAAAGTGGAAGAGATTAATTTAGTGCTTGCCTTAATGCCATTGAATAGTAGAAGATTAGAGGCTGCTATTTTTTTCTGGTAAGGTAAAAGTTGACACAGGTGTCGGAGGTGAATATAAGAAATTATAGACAAAGTGTGTAACAGAGCTACAGGACTACTACCTCCATACAACTTTTAAGGGGAAAAGGTTCCCCGTTATGTTCTGAGCTGTGGTTGGCTATCAGTGAAGGAGTGAGCTTATCTATATTTGCCAAGTGCCACCTGAAAACTACCATTGGGTAAATGATTGTAGTAGTATGAACTTACAACAATACTGTGAGTGTCTTCCTCCTGGCTTTTTTCCTCTTTGAGAGGCAGCTAGGAGGACCGATGAAGGCTATTTACTAGTTGAAGATGGCTCATGTATTCACATTTCTGCCTACAGTTATAAGTTTAAGTTGAGCAATAACATTCTTTGCTCTGATTGGCCTGGCTATAGTCCTGGCTTGAACCCAATTGAGAATGTTTAGAGGACACTGAAGCTGCAACTTAAGATTCAATTCTGAACACCTCAGCTATGTCCTAATGGTCAAGTTGGCCTTATCTGAGCAGCTCAGGAGGTGTGGAATAATATCAAACAGGCAAAGTTTGATAGATTTATCCATTCTATGCCACAATGTGTTCTAAAAATTATCTGCTGCCATGGAGGATATTCTGAGTGGTCGTCTTTTTGTTATTATTGTATTATATCTTTTCTATCTGTTTTTTTTAATCTTGGAATTCATCTGTTTTTGACTAAATTTACATTATCCTGACAGTGGTTCTGGAGGGGCGCCAAGGCTTGTGCCCCGTCACTTTTTTGACCCCACTTGTATCACTCTATTCCTGGTCCTCCAGCTTTCTTGGCGAGAATCCACCACCCTAACTCCCCGTATCCCGGGCTAACTTGTACGATACTTAGATTACCCATTTTGGGAAAATCCTACAATTCCACGCCTCAAGAATGCATTCTCGCTACTTGACCACATCCGCCTCCCACTCTATCTCGGTGCCCCAAAATTGCATTTGGTGACAATTGACTACAAGTACTATCCCGGTGCCAATAGGAGTACTGTACTGTAAATGTGAGCCAGGGTTTTGTTGCAAATGACAAGACTGCACACGCGAGCCGGGATTTGAGGGAACCTGACATTAGCGGAAGAAAGAAGAAATTATTGCCAGTGCTCTTGTCTCTACACTGGCAATGTACGGGTACCGCTATCTTACACTATGATAGCTTGTCCTCTGCACCAAACTCTCCCATAATTCCAACCTCTCGAACATCCAACCCCCCTATATTTCCAGGTTTGTGTAATGCTAGGTTTGGTAGTATGTGGATTCTCTTTGCAACTCCTAACCCTTCCATAATTCCTATTTCCAGAGAATTGATTCACCATAATTCCAGACATTAGGGCTAAAAGTGTGGAGGGGTCTTTTGTTCAAACCTCTATCTTGCCCTACCTTCACGCTACTGAGTAGGAAGATCTAGTGTAGGCCGTTGAATAGGGGAGATCCACCTTTTCAATTTCCTTTCCATTGTTAGTGAGCAGAAAACAACAAAATCTGGTATCCCCGAACCAGATACAGCAGCCCAAGAGCCCGTAGTGCTGCTATGTCAGTGAAGTGTGCTGTACTTTACGTGGCATCCAGGCTCTGATGAAACAAACGACAGTACCATGGGACAGTAGAACAAACTATCCTCCTTCCTTACTTCCTCTTTTATTCATAGGTTTGCTTTATATTGGTCTCAGACTCAGCATCTGGCATCCTCATGATATACCGGTATTTCACAATTCAATGTCCCTTGTTTAACATGTTTAGTTATGGCAGGAAAACTTGTTGAACTTGCCAGCCAAATTTATCTCCCGATCCCTTTGATCCCTAGCCCCCGATTCCCATGGACACACCCAAGTATAGCACTTGAGTAGGGTAACACTCACTCGGCAGGAAGTGCGGGGTGAACCACAGCACTGGAATCCCGATTGTCAACAAGTCGGGCCGATAGCTACCAGTATGATACTATCATACCTGTACGGAATCGGTGCCCCACTTCATCAGGCACATAACGGCTTGCCAGTATGGAGAGAATTCACTCGGAGACCTTCCCTCGCCTGACATATGGATAATGGGTCCAGAAAGACATGATAGTGCAAGCATGCGTATGCTCGTATCCCAATCCTGAAGTTATCAGGGAAAGACGGGAAGAGCAAAATACTCGAGCACCAGGTGGGGTTCGTTGACCCCGTCGATGGTACGATACGAGCAAGCCATGCACCCGAACGACACCCAGATAACCAAGTGCGTGCATAGCGATGATATCACCTGGAATTGAACTACGTTTGCGAACACGACTGATATCGAACTCGGACCCTGCTTTTTTCGCTTGCATCTTAGTGTCCTATGAATATCATAAATTTATCCAAAGCACTAAGGTACTTCGGCAAGGGCCACCAGAACCTCTGCCCCCACATAAGAGTACTGTACTCGTACTGTACCAAGCTGAACACCATCTCCACCGAGGCCAATGTCATGCAACAGTAGTCGTGTTCGGAAACCCCCCTCAATCACTAGTGCAAAATGATATGTATCAAATAACGTATGATTTGGTGAGAGTTGGTGGTGTATGGTGTGGGTGCGGCGGGGTAAATAAGGGATCTCCCGTTATCAGGATCGGTTAGAGGGGTCCACGCGGTGAGTATTTCCACGATTTGAACGGAGGGCTTAGAGTGAATGCGAACTTAGCCCCGATGATAGAACCCATTCGGTGACAAGAGGTTGTTTTGTCCCAGTCCAACTACCCGACCCAGCCCCGATTTCAATTCCATATGGTCCCGTAAATTAGAGAAGCGATCTGTAGGCCGACTCACCACGTGGGATGATTGTCGCCCTCATTTTTTCTATCATACCTGGCAACCTCCTTCATAATTGGGTGGCATTTGTGAACAGGGCAACTTTTATCACATCCCCCCAAGATCTGAGCCGAAGAGCCAAGATTCGGCTGTACGATACCCAATATCATACGAGTGAGTACTCGAGCCGTCCTATCCACAATCACCGACCCATTTGAGGGCACAAGGAGCCACTAGATTGATCCTCATTAAGCTAAAAATAAAAAAAATATTAGTATTAGTACTGTTTAGACTGGGCAAAAGAAAAGGGATGGGAAGGGAAGGACGGGAGAAGGTGAAATACCGGTATCACCATCATGTCGTACCTATGATACCATACTCCCTGTTCCTGTTCTACCGGTGGTACCGTTACTGAATCGCACAGTCTGAAAAAAATATACAGTACTGTACTCGAGTAGAAGACTCGAGTAGAAGACCATTTTCCAAACAAAAAAAGGCTTTGCCCGAATGACACTCGCTTCCGCTTCCTTTTTTTTTCTTTCGATTTATTTGTGCCGGGTTTTATAGATCACAAATCATATTGGTTACTCGAGAATTCGAGTACCTTGGTAGCGCCCCCCTTCGCCGATTCGCCATTCGACTAGACTACGGTTGGCTCTTGTGCCGTTATAGTACTTGAGCTTTGTACCCGTTTGGATCGAACCTCTTCCCAACTTCCCCGCTATTCAGCCCGCAATACCGGTAGCATCCTACACCAACATCCAGTGTCCATTCACCCCCCTGGTCGAGCAGGACAACTGGAAAAGGAGTGCAAAAGAGAAAAAGAAAAACCAAGCCTCCAAAAACAATTAAAAACACCTCTAGCCATCCAATCAAGCTCTGTCCGATTTGCCCATTGCCTGCCATTGAGGACCATCGCAACTAACTTGCCCCCTTAATCTTCCTTTCTCTCCCCACCTCTATTTCATCAACTCCAAATCTCAGCCAGGACACTCCGAGTCTTGCCATCCCGAGGCATTAGCTGAGGCAATGGCATCCCACGATCCTGAATACAGTGAATACATCGCAGCTGAGGTATGTTGGTATTTCTTTTTTTTACCATTTTTCTTCTTTCGTCCGCTGAAATGCCTTTGTCTCACTTACTCGCCATAGGATTCCACCTCTTCCGGCGCTGATGATTCCGACTATGCCTCTGGAAGGTTCGTGGTTTAAACATGACGAAACCCCCCCCCCCCCCGCGCGCCCCGATGATACCGCAGAACTGGAAATAACACCCACTTTAGCGAAGACTCCACGCAGTCGCTTCTTTCCAGTGTCTACTACTACACATATGAGAATGGTAGACGATATGTGAGAACATTTTATCGCCTTCCGTAGAAGTGGAGCGCCACTGACAAATCATTCGAACGTCATATAGCACGCATACAAGGAAGGGGCATACGCTTTGCCTAATGATGAGGCATGACCCGCTCACAATCTATTCTCCCACGAAATCTGTGAATTGCATGATAACTGTTTTTGGGAATTGCCCCCTACTTCGTGACCATAGGTTGAACAAGACCGGTATGGCAGGCACCTCCCCGAGTTCTATGAGTAAAGGAGAATCGCCAGAATTAAGGATGTGCTAAGTCGGCTCCTGCGCTAAAACATCTAGTCTGGATATGACCCATCATCTCTACTTGCTTATGACCGGTGGATCCCTCTTTGCCGCACCCCTTGATGAGAAGAACCCTCCTCAGCGCATATTGGATATTGGTACAGGGACCGGAATATGGGCCGTTGATATAGCAGAGTCAGTTACCTCCTCACCCAACCCAATATCTCATCTCATACAAGGATTCTCGCGTCTTACTCGTGGCTGCTTGGTTATCTAGACAGTTCCCCTCAGCAGAAGTAATCGCAACAGACCTGAGTCCCATTCAGCCAAATTGGGTACCACCAAACCTGAGATTCGAAATCGACGACGCGCAGGATGATTGGACTTGGGGCGATGTGCGTTTCTATTATTACACTAAAAAAATTTTATTTTTATTTTTGCCGATATCCCTTTCCTACCTCTGGAATATAATAAGTTACTTGAGAATTCTACCTGACAATCGATATCTTATTGTAGGAGACCTTTGACTACATACATGTCCGAGGGCTTCTCGGTTCAATCAAAGATTGGGACAGACTACTACGGCAGGCTTTTACGTATGACGTTCTCCCTTCCCTCCCTTTTTTTTAAAAAAAACTCCTTATCGCTACTATTTGTCGCGGTATGCGCGTTGCGTAGCTATTTGTCACTCACTAAGGATTCCTACAGTCACCTCAAACCTGGCGGGTGGCTCGAGGCTGTGGAGCATGACTACGTCATTCGAAGTGACGACGGTACTTATCCTGAGGACTGCGCCATTCGCCGGTGGTTCGATCTTATGAACGAAGCAGCGGACAAAGCCGGCAGGACCCTATCAAAGATCGAGAGCATCAATGATTCGTTCCGGACGGTGGGGTTCGAGAATGTAGCCGAGACGAGACACAAGGTGCCATGGGGGACGTGGCCAAAGGAGCGCAAAAAGAAGGAGCTAGGCGCCTGGATTCTAATGATTACCGAGAGTGGGTTCGAGAGTTTTGGTGAGTTGCGAAGAATGCTGGGATTCGAGCTCGGGGGAAGGATTCGTGCTGATGAAGAAATTATATCCAGGAATGGCCCTGATGACCCGCACCTTGGGAATGACACCCAGTGACGTCTCTGTGTTGTGCGAGAAGGCTTTCGCCGAACTGAAATCCAAAAAGTTTCATATTTACAACTATCAGTAAGTCTTCCATTACTCCCCCTCTCACCCGACTGGATGCATCATGCTTCCCTGGACTCCCGTGGCAAGTCACAAAGCTACTAAAGCTGACGAAACTTCCTTCCATTCAGTCACTTCCTCATAGGACAAAAGCCCTTGTAAATTTTTCAACTTTGAACTTTGGCTCTAGGATCGTAGATCCCGATCGCGGTATAACTAGCATGTTACCCCCTTTGTTGGAAAGTAAAAAAAAAAAAAAAAAGGATTCACATGGCACCTCAATGTTGTGCTTTTGTTCTTGCCCCTCTCTTTTTGTCCTGCCCAAAATGTTGTCCTTCTGTGTTTCCATGATACTTTTTGGATTAATGGGCAAACATAAACACTAAGGCTTGGACTCTTATCTGTAGCATCTGTGTCCACCATGCTCCTAGAGTATTGGTCCTTTCTCTTGCTATAATATCTCTGTATAAGTATCGACGCGATGCGTAAGCGCTGGATCCAGACTCTGGCAAATCTTCCAACAAGTGCTTGAGGACATCGCAACCTTTTGGCATATAGTACAATAATGCAAACGTTCCGTGATACCAGCGGGTGGTCAACGTCTTGGCAATCACTGCCCCCGCACCAAAAGTGTGCAAAATCCTGACTTCTCAACTTTTGATGTGATATCTCATGATCGAGTTTTTGGTATGATATCATAGACTATTCTCATTACCAACCGAAGGTCCTACAAGCTTGTAAGGCCCCGCCGTCACTCTTGGAAAGTCATGATTATCACCAATTTATAATGTCGATTGCCCCAGCTACCCCCCACCACAATGTTCCCTTATGATACAAGTGGGACACGAGAGGTGAGTGGACAGAAGCGATCTCATACCGGTAAATTACCTAAGGTGGCAAATTTCACACATATTCCGGCACCAGCAGGGCCCCGCTCGACAGGTATGATATCGAACCAATTTTTAAAAAATCGTCACTTAAATCTGGAAATGCGATGTATTTTAAAATTGAAAATTGGGAGTGTTTGAAGAAAAGAGGAATGTATAAGGAAGGAAAATAGCTGTTTAGTGACTACGATATTTTCCTGGACGTATTGTATTACCCTTGGGGCTAGAGGTCAATGTATGATATTTGGAAGCTTTTGCATACTTGCATATGGTTCGTGACATCCAGAAAGTATACCAGAAATTAAAAAATTACACAATTTTTAAATCTGACAGGCTCCACACTCAAATCATGTGTGATATTACAAAAAAAAAACCCCCCCCAGCCAAGGTCTCAGATGCCACAGATTTTTATAAACCATCTCTCTAATATTACTATTCATAAACTCTTCTAAGGCTCCGTTCAGCATGTCACTTTTATAGCATATTTTTTGGCATAATAAAGTTTTTATATAAGGGTGTGTTTAGCATGTATTACAAAATGACAATATATTTTAATTGTATTTATAAATTTTTATTATATATTTTTATAGTAGGGCTAGGTGTAGAATCATGAAATAGCACTCAAGCAAAGTATAAACCTATGAACTCTAAAACAAAGAGTTTCTTCGTGTATGATAAATAATAATCCATTGCATATCTCTACTTGAATCCCACTATTCCTTATTTTTATATGATGAATGAACTACAATTATCCTACACAAATTCTCGCCAAATCCACGATACTAGCTATGATTCTGACGATACAACCTCCTCAGACTCGGACCCTGCGGTTTCAGAAAGTTATACCTAATTCAGAATTGATGGCTGCTTTTTACTCCAGGCTTTGAGAAATATTGGGGAATATATCGACCATCATTTTGATGTCAAAATAATTCATACTTCAGCTCTCTCCTGTGAAGCATATGTTGCAGAGCTTCTCAGTAAATACAAAAGAGCAGCGGTTCCAGGAGGTACTTCATATGCCTTGTAGTATGTTCTTCAAACTATGCAAATGGTTGGAAATACACGGGTACCTGCATAGTACAAGGAATGTAGCTATTACTGAACTGGTCACTATATTTGTATGGGCAGTTTCACATAGGTTTGAACTGTATAGTTCAAGAATGTTTCCAGAAGAGTGGAGACACTGTTAGCCGGTTAGTATCCTATGTGGTTGATTTTTGGTATGTGCTCTAAGTTGAGTTGTGTGACAACTTTTTTTTTCTTTCACAAAGCTGTGTGGCATGGTTGCTGAACACTTATATTTTATTTTTATATTGAATTTTTTGATTAGCATATAATTATACTATTTTCAACTTTTATTGCGATATATTTTTATTGGTACATGCTGAATGGAGCCTAATCTAAGTAAGCTTTATTTTTCTAAATAGCTTTCTTATAATTCAAACTTTAACTATTTACATAATTGCAATAACTTTAGGTATAGTATTAGGTGTTTTATTTAATTCCTTTTACTCTTATTTATTTTTATTTTATATTTTTCTATATTCATTTTGGTTTGTAAAATTATTATAATATGAAGATTAGCAAAGATTCCAAATATTACATATTTTTATAAAATATTACTCAAATACCACTGTACCTTCAGATACCATAACCTATTGATCATATGAGTTTGTTTTTATACCTCAAAGTATGATAATAAAAAGAGTGTGGTTATAGAAAAAAGAGTACAACTGCTGTTAAGATGCTTTAAGAAATACTTACTTTTAGTTTGCATGGCAACCAATGCCTTGTTCAGAAAAGGGGAAAAATATGTTTTGACAAAGCAATTAAAACAATTTAACAATCAATAAATTAAATGGTATAAAAATAAAAGATAGATAACACCTATTATTGTTTCTAGAAATTTCTATGTAAAGAATTTTGAATTATAATTTGATTAATAGATTTTAATTAAAAGTTTAAGAATAATATATATTAAGGAAAGGTTACAATAGCTGAGTAAGCAGAATTAATAGAATTATTAACTTTAATCTTACTACTTTATACTGGCTCTTATAATCAAAAGGATAGTTAAGTTCCCATTTGGCTAAAGGTGTAATTAGTAATTCTTATGCTTTACTGCTTTCTCATTTATCTAGATTTTTAATCAGTTCCCATCTCACCTCATCTTCATTTTTTTTGCCCTTGTATATTTATATCTCATATTAAGCTTGATTGCATTTTATTCTCTTACAATGGATTAATAATGTCTGAGAAGTATGTAATACATATTGATATTTTACTTTACTTTATAACAACCACAGATTATACTCTTAAAAATGTTTCAAAACTTACTTAAAGGTAAATCTTAAGATAGTTTATCATTTTATATAAAAGCAAAATATTTTGCTATAATTACAAAAATACTTATTACAGACCTACTATTGCACGAATTTTAAAATCAAATATATTTCAAAAATCTAGGAAGATACTTTACCATAAACTCTAGCCTCAGTACTATTCACCTTTTTTAGAGGTTGTTAGCAATTGTTATCTTTTTCACTTAATGCATTCAAATATTATAATTATAATATTTTTAAAAGATTTGAAGGAGAATATAATAAAATAAAGACAAAGAAAAGCAATAAGGATTAATTAAAAAAACCAGTAGAAGAAAGAAAAAAATAGAATATAAATAAGATCTAGTATGATATCTAAAATTATACTAATTGAATAAATAGCTAATACTCTAATTATAAGAAAGCCATATAGAAGGATAAGTATAACAACCTATGTGAATAATAGCCATTACAGAAGACTAAACTCATACATATACCAGTTTGAAGAGACTACTATGATAGGAATAGAAGTGTTAGGTGAAGCCAACTCTAGTATACATTAAGAAGATTTAGGCAAGAATCCTTTAGTGTAGATGGAGATTGTCTAAGAAGGCTTGGTAATGTTCTTTTCCTTTATAACTACTAAGAACTCGCTTTGGGAGTACAGTGAAGATATTGTACTAAAATTTGTTAGTAAAACAATTTAATATTATTAAGATCTCTTTTCTGTTACTTGATGATGTCTGTAAAGCTCTAGAGGCACTTCGATATTTTATCCCATCTCTGAGTATTTGTCGACTACTTCTGACTATTATATAACTATGTAATATTCCCAATCTGTACACAATGATCCTCAATCTTAATAAGTGTGAACACTATTTGACTCTGAATTCTTTCACACCAGCTTCGTACTTTTCAATAATATAATCTTCGCCATCAGAAGATGTACTTTTAACTTCTAACTGATAGTCTCCGATTTATTCAGTCAATTAGATATCTTTTTAAACCCTCAGTCTATTTGACTATCATTCCAGTAGTCTTTTACAAATACATGCAGTAGCCAGCTTATGTGTTAAGCACATGTACGTAATACAGGCTTAATATACAGTTTGCTAATACTTGATATCTTCTACCTATTATGTTACCAGAGTCTGAGCAGCTTCCTCTCAGCTCACCTTACCTCCAGAAAACTAACCTCAGGAAGTATCCTGCCTCTAGAACGAACCAATATACAAGACAGCCTTCAGATTAGACTTGGTGTCATTTCTATTTCTTGTGGCCTCTGTGGTACTGTTGGAATAGTTATACATGTAATCTTCCCAGGTTGCCAACTTTAAATCTCAATATCTCCTCATCCAACTAACAGATTTCTTCTGAATAACTTCCTATTGATTCACAGGAAGCCATTCTGCCAGATTGATAGATAATCCCTTACTTGCCAACTCTTGTACATCCTCTAGAGAGTTGTAAAGTGGTAGGTAGTAGTGGTAGAAAATACCTTACTGGTTAAAATTACTTTGATGATAGTATGAGTTGAATATGTAACCTTCATACAGAAGTCACATAATATTCCAATTAAGTTATAGGTATGTAAGCCTCATAAGGGGCTGGAGGAGAGTGTTGACAACTGTGATAAATTAGGGTCTCCATACTGTTACCCTACAGAGAGGTTAGTACACTCCTATATACCCAACAAGGAGAACCAAAGGTTTGAGGCTTTTGTGAAATGTAATACTTATACACTACATGTGAACTGGAACAAAGTTTGTTTAAATAGTGGCTATACAAGTAGTTTATAAACTGTCCAAAGTATGATGGAGTCTTAAGGATACCATCGATAAGCATGGTGAAGGAAATTTGTTATTGGTCCTACAAATCATCCTATCCATATTGCTAGGTATTTATTAGGGAGAGGCAACATGTATAGACACAGGGTTGCCCAGGCCAACTAAGATTCGTTTCTGTAGATGGTGATTGTCTAGAAAGGCTGAAAATATACTTATTTTATTTATGACTACTAAGAGTAAGGTGAAGTAGGTAAAGTAGAATAG